CCACATGCACTCCGAGGAGGGAAAGGGGGAGGGTGGGAGGATGCAAGAGAACCCTGGCTTGAGTCCATTTTGGTGCTCTGTAACTATGGGCACATTTTCTATAGCATGGGGCGTAGTTGCAGAGAATACATTATTTGACTTCTTCATTTCCTTTCTCTCTTTATCTTCCGCTTTTTCAATCTCTTGCTGCCTACCCCAGGAGGTAGTGCCAAGTTTTGCCGCGAGAACATGCTTCACTCGCCAACGCTTGGCCGCATTTATGATTTAAGAAAGCAGCTCTCCAGAATATTGAACAGGTGCGAGTCAGGGGAACATGATGACTCAAAGCCAAGAAGAGGGAGAAGAAAAGGATGGAAAAGAATAGAGGGTTCTCAAGACAAGCATGTGAATGTCTTCTGTCTACAGTCTTTTATTCAAGGTGCTTGACAATCCTTCGTACCCACGTTTGTGCGCAGACGATTTGAAAAGCAGCCTTCCTACATGCCCCTTCATGTCACTCCGGGTATGAAGCCCCCGACGCCCGCACAGGAGACGGCGCTGCGACAGGTAGTTTCTCACGAATGGATGGCAGGATGGAAGGATGACAGGCGGGAGTGACCTGATTTACCACCAAATGACCATGGGTCAAAGAGATTAGATACTGAGGTGGGAGGGAAAAAAAATTTGATCAGATTCCTCCCTTTCTCTTTCCTCCTTAAAAGCTCCTCCTTGCCGGGCACCTGGATAATGTGGCCCGCCTGGCGCCCGTGGGGACGGTCACGCAGGGAAGCAAGATTCAACGCCATTGCGCGTATATAGGTTGCAAGGCAGCCGTGACAGAACCTCTGTACATTCACCCGCATTCCTCTCTCTTCTCTCCGAATCCAGAGCGGTTGCCCCAGTGGGTTTGCTATCAGGTTTGGAAAGGCGGGCAGGGAATATGAAAGGGATCGAAAGGTCCTCGTGTGGGGAAATGGGAAAAAGAGAAGACATTTGTGTCGCATGTTAGTGTATCATGGTGGATGCAGGAGTATAAGTAACGATCACCTTACTCGGAACTCTTCCCTTTGTCAGAATGTCGTCCGCTCCAGCAAGGGCTTGAACTACATGGTGTGCGTGACGGCCATAGAGCCCGATTGGTTGGCCCCGCTCGCCCTCCACACGCCTATGCTAAGCTTCAACCCACCGCTGTCATCACCTCCTCCCTCTTTCGATCCCTCGCGGGATGCCGTGGTCTTCTATTGCGTGCCTAAATTCGGAAGTCGTGCGTGGGAGCTTCGGCCATTTCCTTTGACCGCCCAGGACCTTGTTTCTGCATTATCTTCGCTCCATTCCTCATCTAACAAAATAAATAAGGAGTGGAAAGCGGACGCTTTACGCGAAGATGAATGCCGATGGTTCGTTCGTCTCCTGTTGGAGGGCCAGGTCCTGTCTGGCTGGGCCTGTTTGTATCGACAGGCCACCGGGACCGCAAGGCGCACGCATGGCAACGACGACGACGAAGATGATGGCGACACAGCTATGGAAACTACGTCATTGTTGTCGTCACCCGTCTTTTTGAATGACCCGCCCGCCCTGATCACGTACAAAAGGCCACTCCGCAAGGTCCTTGAAGTCGTGCAACCTTTGCTCAACGAAAACATCTCTTCTCTTGCCGCGTTAAGGAAGCAGTGGTTGAAAGATCCGCTCTTTCTGAAGAGAGGTATTAAGTTGTGGATACGCCCCGAGCGTAAGACGGATTTTGAGTCGCTTTGGCGCGAGACTGTTGGGAGACCTACACACGAAGAGTAAAAAGAACCTCCTCTCTCAATAGACATGCTTTCTTTCTTCGCCGATCAATTTTTGTTCTTCTGTTGTCAAGAACTCAATTGTCATGAAATAGATCAATCTTTTGTACTTTAAGGTGCAGATTAAAAATGTGAAGTTATTCCTGTGAAGTTATTCCTGTCTCATCAAAATATAAGACAACTACACCGTCACAAACCAGCGTAACGCATGAGTAACGGAAGTTTGAATTCAACGCCCGACCGCTTTTGAGTGAGAGAGGAGCAGACAGAATCAGAGCAGGTACAGTGAAGGATTGGTTTGAAATGTGCCTCATCGCAAACTCCTATCCTGGGTACAAGGTTTTCATTCACTATGGACGAGAAAGATTGGAGCGTTAAAGAAGTTGCAGCGAAAAATTGGCGACCCTTGAACGAAGGCGCAAATCGCAACGCGAGCGAGAGGTTTCTCGAGTATTTGCGCATGTTGGCTTCCCTTCGTACGCAGCATGAAAGAAAAGGCGAATATATAGAAGCTAAGAAAGTGCACCGGCAAATAAGGCGGCTTCTTCTCGAAGAAGAATCTCGGCAGCGGCAGGAATGGCTTGGCAGGCAAGCAATAGAGAAAAAGGAGGCGGAAAAGGCACATGATCTGCAGGTGAAGACATTTTCAGAAGAGTGGCTCGCATTCATGTCTAATCAGAAGGCCCTTAAAGCAGCTGTTCTTCAAGCCATCAAAAAGCGACATGCTGAGGAGCTGGCATCGCTGATGCCCTCCGAGTGTGAACAGCAACGAGGACATACGATGGAAGAGCCCAATTTTTGCCCCGCTTCATGTTTTACTACATTGTCCCGGTCTTCATTCACCAATGATCTCCTCTCATCGTCTGTCAAGACATCACATAATTCATCCACGGCTTCAGTACCGTCGAAATCCTCCCGTGAAATATTGGATTGGAGACGGAAGGAGAGGAGTATGGTCCAGCAGCACCGGTATGTAGAAGCGGAGAAATTAAAACAGCAGGCTGAGAGCTTGGAAAAGAAAGAACATAGGCGTCTAAAGCAAGCGCATGCTTCACAATTGTCACGTGAAGCGAAAATTATGAAAATGAAGCAAAATGCGGAACTCCGAGCCCTTTTTGTTCGTCTTAGCACCAAGCAAGCAAGGTATGAGAAGCAAATGCGGGAAGATTACCGACGTCTGGTGCAGCGCAATCAAAACGCAATGACTTTGTTGGCTAAAAGACAGCGGGTAGAGGCCTCTGCTGCCTTGGCCTCCATTAGCAGAGAACTCGAGAAAATCTTCGTGACGGGAGCCGATAAGACAACTTAAAACGACGCGAGCGAAAAAACAAAAACGTTCCAAAGGAGTAAGGGCGATGACGACTAAACGTAGTGACGGGGTGGAGTACGAAAGAACAGGAAAGAGGACGAGGGCGACATGCCTGACCAACGGCTTTTACGTCTTTCGGCCTTGTTCAGGCCAAGAGAACCAAGTCATAACCCTTGTGGATCGTATCATCCAGGGAATACTTGTACATATTTCTTTGCAACATCTCGGCTGTGGCCTCTTCAGTCGTCGTGGCACTGTAAGAATTCACGGACCTGTCCCGCGCCACGCATTTTCCCACAAGGAAACTACCATAGCAACCGAACAAAACTGGTAACTTGCTTCAGTCTTCTGTCGTCAGTCCAGAAATACACCATGGTATCCAATGTTATAGGCACAAATACTTTGTTCAAAGCTTCTTCCTGAAGTCCCCTTGCCTATCGGTGGTATCTCGCATGGCTGCTGCTGCGGCTGCTGCCACCACCGCCTCTCTCTCTGCGGCAAACGCGGTCCTCTCGGCCTCGGCATCCCGCAACTCGCTCCATATCACCCGGATTTTATCCACCCATTGCTCGAACTTCCACAGCGTGTTTTTCACATCCCGTGGCTGCAACCCGTGAGCACACCCACACTCCCCTTCATTTGCCCCCTCCTCTTCCGCCGC